GGTTCAGCGATTCAGTTCTGTCCGTGATTTAAAGTGGGAAAAAGACGACAAAAATATTACTTCTCCATGGACCTTGGATGGATGTGCATCACCTTGGCCGAGCATAGCACTTTCCTTTTCTGCTCCCTCACCCAAGTTTCTGCTCCCACACCAAATTTTGAGCAGAAATGCCTCGCTCAATCCTGTATTCCCACCCAGGCCAGACGGTGAACATCCCTTCTACTTTTTGGTTTTGGTGGTAGGCAAGAGGAATCCCTCTCAAAAGCTCCAGTACACAGAGGCAGCAACCAATTTCAGGGGTAAACCAACATGCAATTTGGCTGACAGCTCAAGCAGCAGCTACAGCCACTGTCTCTAACCCTGCTGTTCAAAGACCAGGTATCTTCTCTCAGACACCTGGTTTCCTTGCCATACACAAGGGAGACAAAGCGGCAGGTGAGGAAGGGCAAGGAAAAAAGCTAGAGGCACTGCCAGCCAAGGCTGCAGAGGAGCCAAGCGCGAGAACAGCACAGGCACAAGTTACAGCAGCTTATCCACACCAGACAGGGCAATTTAGCACTTGGAGCTTCCTGCAAGGCATCTCTTCAAGGCAAGCCATCAGGGAGGAGAGTTTTGCACAAGGTGTTCCTGTGCCCCATGCAAGAATTGTTTGACAGGAAGGCAAACAAATACTTCACAACCACTGAAAAAAGCTGAAGCGTTGCTAAACCTCACAGCTCTTTCACGGCCCCAGAAAACAAGAACACAGAGACAAAAAAAAAAAAAATTACTTTCAAGTCAAAGGACAGCATATTTTTTAAGCAGCAAGTCCTACAGAGCCAAGGACTGGCAACCAAGTAATAAAGAGCCATCCCCCTGTATATCAGGGCCTGTACGATGGGAAACATTACCTACCTGTCAACAGATAAAAAGCAGTGCTAAACAGTCATTTTAAGGAGCTTTCAGTAAGCCGATGCTAAGTTTTAACTAGTCAGAAGACAAGGCAGTATCAGAGAGAGGACACGTTCAACAGCAGCACAGAAGAGTGCAAGGCTCACTAGAGGAGAGCACAGCAATCAAACTACACCTGGGCTAACAGAGACGTGCTCAGGAGAATTGCTCTGCTGGGTCCTAAGGCAGCAGCGTGACATACATCCCACCAGCAAGCAGTTTGCACTTGGCAGGCTGTCTGCCTGCTGGCAGCTTGCTCCTTCAGACAGCACAGGAGGAACCAGTGCTTGCTGCTGAGCCATGACTTTGGAGCCTGGGTCCTCACCCTCCACTTGCCCACCCCTCCGGGCCATTGGCAGGCAGGGTGGCACTGGGGTACCGGGGCACGTGAACAGGCAAAGGAGTTATGTGTTCCTCTGGCTGAAAGCACTTTCCAGTGCCAGAAGAAACCACAGTTGCTTGTTCAGCCAGCATCAAAACTCAGAGCTCACAAGCAGCCTGGGACAAAAACAGGGCTGGAACAAGGCTTCTCACCCGCTCCCACACATCCATTTTGGCCTTTGGACTGCACTGGCCTTCTGGACCCAAATGCCCCATTAAGATACAACTCAGTATCTGCCTGCCTCAGATTTGTAGCTGGCCTTCACAAGCCACACTTGGCAGGGAGTGACATCCCACTGCAGAAGCTCTTGCCTTTCCGCTGGAATCAGTATTTCTACTGAGTAATCCAAAGCTAAAACGCCTTCTTGATGGTCAACTTTTTAAATTCTTAACGTTCACATAAAACCCTACTAGCTGGAATGTAAAGATCCTCCTTTCTTTGGAAAGGTCCCAAGTTCATATTTTTCCTGAACGGCTTGACATTCAGCTTCGTGTATTCATAAGCTCTGACATCACTATTATAAAAAAAAAAAGACTATATTTCTAACCCTTTCCCTAGGCTAATCCTAGCAACAGCAGTTAAGCTCAGAACCAGGAAGCTATGTGTGTTTTGGGGCTGCAATGCCGAAAGCTTCAGCACATAAAAGGCATTGGAAGAGTTTCCCCAAATTTCCCCACTGGTCCCTCTCTGGGGATCTGCTTTGGCCACTCCCACCCCACTTTCAAACCTGACACTAGCATGTGGCCTGCATCCAAACCCTCTTACTCCCCTCGTTTTATTTGATTTTAAAAGGCCTCTCCATAGAGAGCAGGAATCTGAAGGTGATAGATGATGAAACCTCCTTCTTGCTACTTATTTCCTGTTGCAAGAAGCAGCACTCTCAATTCTCCCTGCCCAGGAAATATTGACTAAGAAACAAATAGTGCAGATCTGAATGCAAGAAAGCAAGGATAACACCAGCAGCAGGTTAACAGGCCACCTGGAGTCCTCACCATTTCCCCCAGTGGTGATATCAGCAAGCTTACTGCCGAGAGGGAAAGACAAAAAGCCATACACTACAGAAACCACTTATCTGCATCTATTGCATTTAAAGGCACATGCACAGAACTAACGATTTGTACCAAATGCAACAGAAGTCACAAGAGGCAAGTCAGGTGTTGTCAAAATTTGAAGTTTCACACGACTGACAGATCTGGGTAGGAAAGGACAAGTGGTTTCAGAGATCAGGAATCCAATTCTGTTTAAAAAAAAAATTTCAGTGATACTTTCTGATTTTATTCCGAGCTAGGTAGGGAAATTCACGTTTTTTTCTTGGAAGGGAAGCTTAGTTTTCCTCACCAAATAAGACACATAACTTAATCAAATTCACAAGCTTAAGGTACATACAACTTCCTTACTATTACAGTGTTCCCTGGAGTCTTCACTGAACTTTAGAGATTCACGGTGATTGGCAACGCATACACAGACAGCTAGAGACAGTTGTGGCCTCAGACAGTTTACAGGTCAGGTAGACAAAGTAGGAGGACAGGAGTTTCCATTTTACAAACAAGGCAGATGAGGCAAACAGATTAAGTGATTTGTCCAAGTCTGCAGCAGAAGTGGAAACAGAATTCGCACCCTACGTTACCACAGCCTCATCTTCCCCCGTTGTTAATCACATGCCCTAGGATAACATTGGTGACCGCCCTCCAGCCCGGCCTCGGGAACACACACCTTCGTGGAACACACCGCAGCGTGGTCAGCGCCCAGCTCCTCCTCTTCCAGGCTGCTGGGGCTTGGAGCTTTCTGGCGTTTTTCTGGCGTTTCCTCCTCTTCGTTTCTCCTCCTCTTCTTTTCCTGAGTGCAGAGAATGAACAAGCCGGGAAGCGAGCTGGTCAAAACGCTTCTTACAACAAAAGTGATTTCCCCCCACCGCCCTTTTTCCCAGGCTTACTCCCTTACACTAAATAAACACTCAAGCACAAAAACTTTGAGTTCACATCATCTCATTTCGAAACATCCAGGAAGAACCTCATGTGTGAGTTGAGAGAGAAGGAAAAAACCCACAGAGAAATTTGGCAGGTTCAAGGTTCCAGAATGACATGGAAAGGAGTCCTTGCATCAGTTACAAAAGGCTTCTTCCCGCTGTTGAGCGCGAAACATGAATTTCTCATTTAGAGGAGAGCAAGAGAGAGAGCGAGAGAAGCTGCTTTTAGAATAAAGCGCTGCAAAGTCACATACGCAGTCCAAATGTAAAAGCCCACAATGGCTACAGCAAGTCAAAATCCATTTACAACAAAAGATTTGAAGCTCAGCAACCTAAGATATTTGCACACAGCTCAAGTTCCAACTTTGCCTCTCTCATTTATCCGGAATTACACCTGGCTGAAAGAGCCAAGATAGACAACCTCAGCAGGGAGCAAGGCAAGATTTGCTGATACGTCAAGCCAAAGTCCTTCAAAGGTGCAACAAAGGTTGGCAAAGACAACAAAAGTAGTAAAACTAAGAGTTGAGGACCCCTAAAGAGATAGTCACAGTTTACAAAACCATAGGAAAAATAACAGCACTTCCTTCTTGGTATTTGCATGGGCATGAATAAGCCACTACGAACTCTGGGAGTAGATACATCACCCTAGCAAGGGGGACAGGTTGCCCACAGTGACACCCCAGCAACACACAGAGGTAAGAATGGGACAGGCCCCATGTTATACCATGTCTACAGAGGCCTATCGCCCATCAATGTAAAGTTCATGGGTGAGCAGAGTTTCTCAGCAGCCCCCAGGCCTGGCCCTCCCACCAGCCCTATGAAGGGGAACAGGCCAGCTCCTCCTGATCCAACCTCCTGCTCAGCTCTCTCCTCTTCCTGTTGCTCTTGGACATCTTCTTCCACATGGCACAGCCTCTCCTCCTCCCTCACCACCATATTCTCCTCCTGGATCTCCTCTAGGCTTTCCTGATTTAGCTGGATCTGCTCCAGTTTGACTTCAGCTTCCCTCACACCACCGTCCTCTTCTTCATACGACTGTCGTGGAGACCTAGACATGGAGGAAGAGAAGTCAGAGAAGCGAACGTTGTTAAGAGCCTACAGACACTGTCAGGTGCCTCAGACCTCTAGAAACCCAGTTTTATCATTCCCCCAAGTATACAACTGCTGGGTGTTTTAAATCAGGGCTTATAGTCACTTCCACAGTCCTGTCTAGGTTCCCGGCTAGACATAAGAGCAGTCACATCACACGGCTGCTAGCGCCAGCCACACACAGGCCTAGGAGAACCCAGCAAAAAGCAGCACCAAAGCAACCAGGGTCACCAAGAGCCTTGCTGTGGGTAAAGATTACAATGGTTTGTTTTTTTTTTTTTAAACAAACTCCTATAGGTCTCAGAGCCTGCAGAGAGGAGACCCACTAGTACTTTTAAGTGATCAGAATTGCAAAAGCAGAACAGCCCACACACTGGGGCACACAGTCCGTGGGAGCAGACACGTAACCCCAGAGCTCTCACTGCCTCATGGTTTTACACCAGGATGTTATTGCCATCTCATGTTCCCTGGCTAGAGAATACCTTTCTCCTCCCACCCATTTCTTAGAAAATTGCCTGGCTTGCAACTGCAGCTGCGGGTCCTCTGACAGCAAGGCTAGAAAGCTGGCTAGCAGGCAGCTGCTGGAGCACAGGGGTGACTCACTGCTTCTGCCTCACCATCCAGCCCCAAAACATGGGAAAAGTTCAAACTGCAGTTTTTCACCCAGCTCTCTGCTGCTAGCAAGGCAGTTCACAGTCACCTTCCAGCCCCCCCTCACTGACCACACAGGGGAAAAAGCAGCTGCCTATGCTGGCCTTGCTCAAGCCCCTCAAGACAGTAAGGTCACTCACAGCAAGCAGGCTCTCAGGGCTCTACAGCCCAGGTAGCTACCTTCTGTAACCAAGGTGCCTCAGCCAGCAATGCCTACGGCTAAAGGGCAAGCCTGTATTAAACAGTTGGGCCAACAGACAAGACACAGCATATTGGTTGCCTTTATAAGACAGCAGCTCTGTACAGACACCAACTAGTCAGGCACAGCTCCCTTTACATCATCACAAAGGCAGCAGGCACATCCCAGCTCTCATCTTCTCACACATGACTGCAGGGACCCAGATCACCCCCCACAAAGGGGCACAACACCCGATACAAAAGGAAAATCTGCCTTAGCACCAGGGACCTCAGAGGATGCACAGGTCCTTTGAGCACCATCCAGCAAAAACTAGCCACCTCCAGTCCCTCAGTCACAGCTACAGCCTAAACACCGATCACAAGAAAAACAGAGTTTGCTCCCTATCCAGGTTAAGTAGGAAAGAGCAGAGCTGGGAAACCCTGGCCACAGCACTGCTTCATTCAACATGGAGAGTCAAAACCAGAAACACAACCTACCCGTGCCTCCCAGAGCCCTCCAAGCTTTTTCTCCAGTGATGCAGAGGACCAAGGGCAAAGCTGCCAAATAGACTTTCTAGGACACAACCACTGGTTGGGGGCAACCTCAGCTTTCACAAAGCACTCCCCTCACAGCAAACTCACACAGCACAACTCGCTCCTGCTCCTGCTCCTGCTCCTGCTCCTAACCAGCCTCCCACCAAAAGCCACTGGCTTTAAGGCACCACCCCTCTCCGATGGGCTTCCCCTGCCCCAGGTGCCCCACTGCTGACTTCTGATTGCTGCCCCAGCCCGGACGATCAGCCCTGCTCTTAGGAGCTCCAGCAACGTCTGTGGGCTTGCAGCTGTGAAGGGGGAAGGTAAAGCTTCCCGATTGATTTAGCTACAGCATTTGGAAAAAGAAAGTTGAGTCGAGCTCTATTTATCTGCTCAGCAGTAAATATTAATCTTACACATTTTTTTCAGCCTTGTATATAAAGAAGAGGCTGTATCTTCGCAGGACAAAATTCCCTGTAAAATCGAACTACATAGAGAGCCAACTCACAGAGCTCAAGTACAGGTACACAGCGTCCAAGGGAAGTACTTAAGGCAGGATTTGGCCCCGAACTTCTGGGTAGCGACTGAAGAGCCTGCAAACAAGCACCACTCGGGGATCTCTGCTGCCTGTTTTCCATTGCTGAAAGAGGAGTCAAGCGCAAGGTGGGCTGGGGCCATAACACCCACTATGCTGACATGAGCCAGGAAGCAGCAATAACTTAGAACAGCTTTTTAGGCTGCCTGGGTTATGTTAGAGGCCATTTCAGCCCCTGCAGCAGCTCAGGTGGCTTAAATCCACTGTTGTCGCTCCTCCAAATCCAGGCCTCCTGGCAGCCTGCCACTGCTGCGAGTGCAAAGCTGAATCCAAACGTCCCGGACACCCGGGGCAATCCCGCAGTCCGTTTCTCCGCTGTAGCCCACATCGCAGGCAGAGAGCATCCCTCCCAAGGCGAGGGGCCCGTCCTGCCCTGCCCTGCTAGTGCTTGAGGCTCTGGCCTCCAGCTTTGCGTGCTAAGCTTAGACTGGGCTTGATCCCTCCCTGCTCAGGCACGGCCCCTTTGCTGGGCACACTTGCTGCCCCTTCCCTCACTCTGTCTTTGTCCGACCCACCTCTGTTTGCGCTGCTCGAGCTTCTGGGACCAGTCACTGAACCCCTCATCCTCTTCCAGCTCCGAAGGCTCGGAGGGCTTAAAGTCGTAGCTGAAACACAGCAAGAAGAAAAATTAGGATGAGAGAGGCGCAAAGAACCAAAGTTGGCCTGAAAGAACTCCAGGCTGATCCTGTCCTTCTCTCCCTCCGGTTGTTGTATCTTCTTTCCTGTGACAGCTCCCAGATCCCACTTTAAACCTTATTCTCCATTATGGGAAAGATGCTTTTGCCAAGTGTTTAGGAACTTCCCCCTGTACAAAGGGGATCTCTCAGTGGAGTCATCGCAAGATGGAAAGGAAGAAGGAGCAGCTCTGTGTCTCCAGCAGACGTACCCAGCTGCCTGTACGGTCTCTTGGGGGTTGCAAGCCAACAAGCATAAGATAAGCAACCCTTCTGTCCACGGCTTGCTTCTGCACTGGAGTTGACCCTAGCTTGTCTGGCCCCGAGAGGTGTTTCAGACTGGATTCCCGCTTGTCCTGCGCTTGTTTTCCTCATGCCGCTCCACACAAACGCCATCAGCATGAGCTGGCCTGAGCAGAAAGCTGGGTCGTGCAGGCAGGAAGAGCGAGTGCTTAGGACACTGGCTCAGGTTCTGGGTTTGATCTGCAAGTTCCCCGTGCTGCTCTGAGTTAGTCACATGCACTTTCAAGACCATCTATAAAATGCTAGCACTAGTCCTGCCCCATCTCAGGGCAGCATGAGATGAGAGGGGGAGGCCTCAGACCCTGGGAGGATGGGCTCCAGGCGCCGCTCTGCAAGGCAGGGCCCCGCTGCAGCGCTGCAGACCCAAACACCTACGCGTTCCTGCCTCGTCCGACCCGTGCCCTGCGCTCCTGATTTGGGGACGAGGCATCAAAAGCCCCTTGGCTACTGGCTGCAGAGGGAATGGATTTACCCAGCGGGTGGCAGGCAGGGAGGTTGCTCCAGGGAGCCCTTCCTACAGGGTCACTTGAATTGCCAGCCGCGCTTTGCCGTGGCCCTGAAGCCCACTGCTGGCAGCTCCCTTCTGCAGCGGGGACTTAACACACAACCCACAACCCCAGGGCGCAGGCGGCCGGATGGAGCATCAGCCCTCCTGGGTCGCACAGCTGCCTGCACCGCATTGGGGTTGGCCTCGCACGGGGGTTTTTTTCCTTTTTTTTTTTTTTTCCTTGCATTCA